GCCTATTATATATGTATATATAGCCTATTTACAAAATAATTACATTAGGCCTAAAAATCAATATTTTCTAATAAAATAAAATTTAATATTATTAATAACACAAGAAGAAATAATTAGTAATACTTTGAAAATTACTAACTCCTATGTGGATGATAATATCAAAAATAAAAATTTAGGACTCTTTAAAAAGTTAGCCATAATGAAAATAGGATTTGGCCAAAGTGGTACTCAAAAAAAAAAAAAAAAAAAAATAATATATATATATATATATGTGTGTGTGTATATATATAAACTTACATGCATTTACGTTTAAAGAAGAAAAAATTTAATACCTCAACTAAGCATTTATTATACTTAAGAAATACAAAAACTATGACAACGGAATACTTTAAAATGTATTGAAGAAGGAATTAATAAAGTAACAATTACATAAATAGATTAAACATAGAGAAAATAGAGAAAAAGTAAACTTGATAAATACCAATAATTGGCTCTTTAAGAGGACAATAAAATAGACAACCTCCATAATATTGACCAAAAATAAAAAGATAATATTTAAGCATGTGTCATTCAAAAAGGAAGAAGTAAAATATAAATACAGAAAAAATTTAAGCTTTAGTAAAATACATTCAATCTGTGCAAATTAACATTAAAATCTGGAAAATTATGTTGGCCATGTAAAATTTAAATTATAAAATGTCAAGAAGTTTCAGTTAAAATGCCAGTGAAATAAATAAACATTACAAAAAAGAAAGAACATCCAAAAAGCTATTCTTTCACAAGAAAATTAAGTAAAGGCCCAGTTAATTTTTCTGTTGAGTTCTGTAAAATTTTCAAAGGATGGAGAACTCTAAGTATATTAGAGCAGGGTGAGGCAAGCTTTTTCTGTAAAAGGTCAAATAATAAATTATAGTGGCTTTGAGGGTCATGAAGTCTCTGTTGCAACTACTCAACTCTGCTGCGCAAGTAGGCTTACAGAGACAACATGTAATCCAATAAGCATGACTGTGTTTCAATATAACTTTATTTACAAAAGCAGATGGTAACCAGGTGTTGCCCTGTAAATTATAATTTGCCAACATTTGTCCTAGCATAAAGAGATGTAGATTTCATAATTCCTTTTATAAAGGTTATATAAAGTCAGGGACCAAAATTTAACCACAATACATTAAAAAAAAAACAAGAATAAAAGATTCATCTCATTTGGGATCACATATGCAAAAATCTTAATTGAAAATTAACAAGTGTAATCCAGCAATATACGAAAAGAATAACACATTGATTAATAGGATTAATTCTAGCAATGCAAAGACAGTTCTTAAAAGACCTATTACGTTAGTAACTCTTCATTAAAAAAGGCAAAGAAATAAATATAACCTTTACTGATATTATCAAAACATTTGAAAAGGCTTAAGATCTTTTCACAGAAATAATAAAGTATGAAATTTTAATAACATAAATAGAAACTTTAATAAAATTGAAAAGTATTTATCTGAAAGCAACTTTTAGTAATAAGACACCAGCTGCACTTCACAATAAGATAGGAAATGTTGGTATTAGTTTTATTATTTAATATGCATTAAGATAATAAATAAGAGACATAAATTTTGAAACAGTTTAGCAAGATGGCTTGTTGAAAAAATTTAACAGGTTTTTCCATATATTAATTTTAACCAAACAGATATGCTTTAAAATATATTTAAAAATTATCTTCATAATAAAAACAAAAATATAAATGTTTTATTAAATTTAAAAGGATATATGAAAATTCAAAAAATTTATAAGGAACATCAAAGGAAGAAAATAAGCGGACAGACAATAAGAACTCTCTATGAAAAAGCACTCCATTTTGTACAGCTATCTCTTCCAAAATTAATCCATAAATGCTATTCAATTGCAACTAAAATCCTAAAGACATTTTAATGAGGGATGTAGGTGGTAAGGAAGGTAAATTTACAGATCAAATACATGAGAAAAGATGAGACTAGTCAAGAACATATTCATAAAATGAGGTGGGGGAGTAATGAACCTACATTATTATATATTGAAATATGTTGTAAATGAAAAATGATTAAATGATCATAATACTGAAGCCACCATAGGCAGAGACTCATGGAAAAGAATACAAAGTTCAAAGACTTAACTAAATGAACATAAATTATAATATTATATAGTAAAAGTAACATTCCAAACAAGTGAAAGACTAAATTATTAATAAATGCTATTGGGGCCACCTGTTAACAAAATTAGTAAAACTTTTCTGATAGATAACTGAATTAGTGAGCTGGAAGACACAGTATTGGAAATTACTGAAGAAGAACAGAAAAAAAGAAAAAAAAGAGTAAAAAGAAATGAAGAGAGTTTAAGAGAAATCTGGGACATCATCAAGTGTACTAACATTAACATTACAGGAAACTCAGAAGAGAGAGAGAAAAGGACAGAGAAGTTATTTGAAGACGTAACTGAAAACTTCCCTGACCTGAGAAAGGAAACAGACACCAGGTACAGGAACACAGAGCATCCCAAACAGGATCAACCAAAAGAGGTCCACACCAAGACACGTTGTAACTAAACTGGTAGAAATTAAAGATAAAAAGAGAATACAAAAAGCAGCAAGGGGAAAGCAACAAGTTACATACAAGGAAACTTCCATAGGGCTATGAGGTGACTTTTCAGCAGAAACTCTAGAGAGAGTTTCTCAGAAGGGAGTGGCAAAATATATTTAAAGTGATGACAAGAAAAAAATCTACAACCAAGAAAAATCTATCTGGCAAAGCTTTCATTCAGAGTTGATAAAGAGATCAAAAGTTATGCAGACAAGCAAAAGCTAAAAGAGTTCAGCACCACCAAACCACCTTCAAAAAAAATGTTAAAGGAACTTTCTCTAAGTGTAAAAGAAAAAGGCCACAACTAGAAACATGAAAATTATGATAGGAAAAAATCTTTTTGGTAAAAGAAAATATATAGTAAAGGTAATAAATTAATCATATGTAAAGCTGGAAATATATAGTAAAGGTAATAAATTAATCATATGTAAAGACAAAAGTAGTAAAATCATCTGTAGCCACAATTAAGGGATGCAAAAACCAAAATGATGTAAAATATGATGTCAAAATAGTAAATGTTGTTGGGGGACTAAATATACAGGGTTGTTAAAATGTGTTTGAACTTAAGAGATCAGCAACTAAAAGAAAAAAGACTGCAAAAAACAAAAACTCATGGAGGCCAAATGATATGCCATCAAACAACCAATGGATCACTGAAGAAATCAAAATCAAAGAAGAAATTAAAAAATACCTGGTGAAAAATGACAACAAAAAGACAAGGATCAAAAATCTATGCGATACACACCTCACAGCAGTCAGAATGGCCATCATTCAAAAGTTCACAAACGATAAATGCTGGAGAGGGTGTGGAGAAAAGGGAACCCTCCTACACTGCTGGTGGAAATGTAGTTTGGTGCATCCATTATGGAAAACAGTACAGAGATTCCTCAAAAAAACTAACAACAGACTTACCATGTGATCCAGCAATCCCACTCCTGGGCATAAATCCAGGGGGAACCTTAATTCAAAAAGGCACATACACTCCAATGTTCACAGCAGCACTATTTACAATAGCCAAGACATGGAAACAACGTAAATGTCCATTGACAAATGACTGGATAAAGAAGATGTGGTATATTTACACAATGAAATACTACTCAGCAATAAAAAATAATAAAATAATGCCATCTGCAGCAACATGGATGGAACTAGAAAATGTCATTCTAAGTGAAGTAAGCCAGAAAGAGAAAAAGAAAATACCGTATGGTATCACTTATATGTAGAATCTGAAAAAAAAACAAAAAGACAAACAAACTTATTTACAAAACAGAAACAGACTCACAGACATAGAAAACAAACTTTTGGTTTCTGGCGGGGAAGGGGATAAGAAGGGGTAAATTGGATGTTCTAGATTTGCAGACACTAATAATACATAAAATAGATAAACAACAAGTTTATACTGTATAGCACAGGGAACGATATTCAGTATCTTGCAGTAACCTATGTTGAAAAAGAATATGAAAACGAGTATATGTATGTTCCTATGTGACTGAAGTATTGTGCTGTACAGATATTGACACAACATTGTAAACTGACTATACTTCAATAAAAAATATATTTAAAAAAATCTATAGGATACAGAAAAAGCTAAGAGGAATGGTTATAACAACACAAGTCTAACTCTGGAAACAAGAAAAATCTCAAAAAAACCTGACAAAAACCTACACCTAAAGAAAAAACAACACCCAAAGATAGTAGGAAGTAAACATTATAAAGATCAGAGCAGAAATAAATAAAACACAGTAAAAAGATCAATGATATTAAAAGTTGATTCTTTAAAAATATACACAAAAATGTTAAACTTTTAGACAGACTCATCAGGAAAAAAAAGGAAGGCTCAAATCAATAAAACCAGAAATTAGAAAGAAGTTAAAACCAACACCATGGAAGTAAAAAGACTGTATATTAATTTTGTATCCTACAGTTTTATCAAATTTGTTGACAAAGCTCTAGTAGTTTTTTGGTGGAGTCTTTTGGATTTTCTATGTATAGTACCATTTCATCTGAAAACAGTGGCATTTTTACTTTCTTTCCAATTTGGAAACCTTTTGTTTCTTTTCCTTGTATGACTACTATGGCTAGGACTTCCAATAATATGCTGAATGAAAGTGGTGAGAATTTTATATGGTTTTCTAAGGGCAAGCAGATATTTCAGGATATATCATATTAATTGACAATTATATTTTAAAAAAATAAAGGCATTTTATAAAATACATAACTTAGTAATTTAATTCAGCAAAATATTAAACTTATTGCATGCTTTATTGGGTATTAAAAATATTTCTAACTGCTACTATTAAGGTCCTTTCAATTTAGGAGACAAGGACTAGGTAGGCACATTACTATAGGCTCTCAGATAAGCCTTTTAAGTGAAAGAATGTAGTTCAACCTTCTTGCTACACATACTGAAAATTAAAGTCCGTAAGGGTAAGGAAGCTTGTCCAGAACCACTCATACACTCATCCTTCCATCTACCCGTCTATCCATCCAATATTTACTTAGATTCTACTCTGTGCCGAACGTTGAGTTATTTATTGACGACAAGTTCCCTCCTTTCATTGAACTTGCATGAATTTCTTGGTTATATGTAAGAATAAGCTAGGTTACTAGGTTTCAAAAATCTCAGTCTCCAGATCCCACTCCTGGATTAATTAAAAATGAATCTTGAGAGTGTCACCCAGGCATCAGCATTATTTTGTTAGAGGTATGCAGTAATTCCAATGTGCATCCAAGACTGAGAACCACTTGAGTGAGGAGACAGACACTGACCGAATAATTACAAATGTCCTCAGTGCTGAATGTTACAACTGAGAAGTGTAAGGTCTTCTGTCCAAGTCAAGGATGTTTCCACCATATATTGTTCCGATCGTAAGGCAGCTAAACATTACCATTTATGGAAATATCCCACTAAAAGGATTTGAATGTAAAATATGACATGGATCCTCAACATACTGAAATATGGTATTCTCAAAAGCATTCATATTTTTCAATCTTCTAGGTGAATAAATCATAGGATTATTGGTAGAGTGAATATAAGCAGATATTGTAATCTGCAAAAGGAATTTTTCCACAAAAAGGCAAATACTACATGTTGCTCACATCACGAAAATTAAGATACATCATGTCTTTTCAAATATATAGGCTTTATCTTTCAGGGGATAGTGCATATACCAATAGGGTTAGGAAATACAAATATGTCTCATTTGATGT